TGCGTGCCTGCCTCAGGGCTACAGGGGCAGTGCTCAACTGTGGGGGTCACTGGGGGAAGCCAAGCAGGCTGCTGGGCTTCCAGGGAAGTTGGGGAGGTTGGGGGCTGGTGGGGGATTTGGGGGCCTGCGGGTTGTGGGTCCAGCTAGAAGCCAGGAGACGGGGCTTGGGGCACAGGGTGTGGACCTTGGGGGCAGGGGGTGGAGTTCAAGGATGGTAGCGGGAAGTGGGGTCTCACCAGTGAGGTCGCTGAAGCGAGTCATGCCAAACCGGGCCATGCCCTGCCCAGCTTTCTCCAGGGCCCTGGCAGTGGCCAGGTTCTGCCTGAAGATCAGCAGCCGCCGGCGCTGCTCTGGAGAGGGAGATGGTGGGTCATTGAGGGGCAGGGGGTCCTGCCCAAACCAGGCTGCCAAAGACCTCCCAATCCTGAGAGCTCCCCAAGTCCCACTCTCAGCCCCTGCTTCCAGTCACCCCAGGCCTAGAATCCTGCCTCCTCACAAGGACACCTGCTCCCTGGGGGCTTCTACTGGAAAGTCTGGGGAACATAAGAGCTGCTAGGGACTGGGTCAGACCCTAGGTCCTTCTTGCTCAGTCTTTGCATTACACAGTGGCAGATAGCAGGTGCTGAAAGGAAGAGTGAACTGGGTCTGACCTGGGAACTCCCCGTTCCTCTCTCACTTGCAGCCTCCAGCATTTAAGGTCTAGGAAGTTCTGATTCAGAGGCCAAGCCCCTCATTCCCCTGCTCAATAGCTCCTGATGCCCCTTTCCTCCAAGAATGTGCCCAATCCCTTTGGGCATTTATACATGTGCTCCAGGAGTGGAGAGAAGGGGGGGTGCTTTAATTAGAGCAGCTCCAAGAGCCACTTTAATTAACGCATCCAGAGTGTCATGTGTATCAGCGTCCCCACGCTAAAAAATGGTGACGGGGTGCTTTAACTAAAGCTGATTGAACAAAGTGCCCCCACCACCATTTTTCAGTGCAGGGATGCTGATACACATGATGCTGGAGTTTGCTGGAGCATGGTAATTACAGCACGTCAAAGCAGTTTTGCTGCACTTGTATAGGCACCCTTTGTGAATCTGGCTAAACTCTCAGCTCCACACCATATCTGGAGTCAACTTATTCCCCAATTTAATGACACGCTGGGACAAAAAGAATTTCCTGGCATTTGTTTTAAATTGACTGCCTGCCTGTTTCATGTGGTGACCCCTTGTTTTTGTCTGGTGGGAGACAGATGGTAATAAAATCCCTGGTGACTTTCTCTTTGCCATTTAGTATTTTGGAAATTCTTCTCATGTTTCCCCTCAGGCATCTCTTTTCTAAGCTGAACAGGCCTGTCTGTCCATTCATCCATCCATTCACCCATCCATCCATCTTTCCATCCCACACTCTATCCATCCATCTATCCAGCCCATACTCTGTCTATCCACCTACCTTCTTTCTCTCTGTCTGTCTCTATCTCTATCCCTGCCTCCTGTTAATGTCTTCAGCGTCTCCTCACATCAGGATGCACTGATAGAGATCTTTGGGGCTGATACCAATACCTGATTTTTAAGGAGGCATATCAGCTGATACCAATCCAATTTCCGATACAGTGTGGAGAGCTGTGTGCAAATGGTAAGTCTGTTGGGGTGGAAGGGGACAGGAGAGGGAAGGGGCATGGGGGCACAGATCAAGGCCCCTGCAATGAGGGAGGAGTGGGGCTTGGGCTGGGGCAAGCGCTGCCCAGCCAGGGCCAGGTGAGTGTAGGATGGAGCCATGGCTTATCTGGGGGGCATGGGGAGGGAGGTGGCTTCTGCCACTGCACACACCCCAGGACGGCCTGGGGGGGCATGTGCTCCCAGATCTGCGTGGGGCGCAGGCAGGGTGGGCTGCAGCTATGGGCTGGGGTTGGGACTGCACTGGGCTGTGTTTGGGTTGGGCAGCAGCAGCACTGGGAAAGGGGCTATGGGGAGGCTGCAGCCCACCCCCCCATAATTTGCCGTAGCCCCACCCCTGTAGTCCCCTCTCAACACTGCCACTGCCCATCCCAAGCGCAACCCTGG